CCTGCCCATTCGTGGTGAGCTGGAGAATTTACCATCTTTCGACATGCAACTCACGATGCCCCAGGAGCCCTTTTTAACCGGTTCTATGGCCAGGTATATTTTGAGTCAGTGCAGCAACCAAGAGAAGCTGAACAATTAAATAGTTGAATAACGGAACAGTTGCATGAATAATTGAATAGTTGAATAATTGAATAGTTGAATAGTTGAATAACTGAATAGTTGAATAATTGAATAATTGAATAGTTGAATAGTTGAATAACTGAATAGTTGAATAATTGAATAATTGAATAGTTGAATAATTGAATAATTGAATAGTTGAATAGTTGAATAACTGAATAGTTGAATAATTGAATAATTGAATAGTTGAATAGTTGAATAGTTGAATAACTGAATAGTTGAATAGTTGAATAATTGAATAATTGAATAGTTGAATAGTTGAATAGTTGAATAACTGAATAGTTGAATAATTGAATAATTGAATAGTTGAATAGTTGAATAATTGAATAATTGAATAGTTGAATAGTTGAATAGTTGAATAATTGAATAGCTGAATAGTTGAATAATTGAATAATTGAAAAGTTGAATAGTTGAATATAGTTCAATAATTGCAATAATTTTTCAACTATTAATAGTTGAATTCAACTTTTGACTTCTACACGTATGACAAAAGCCAGCCTAAGAGTTCAAGTACTTTTTCTCTCAATGATAAACGCTTCTTTCATGCAAAAGCCTATTTCATTCCGAAAGTGTACGAACAAAATAAAAAAGATTTAACATAAATTGATGAAAAACTCTTTATTCTGATACTGTAACTGGTCTGTTGATTTTGTTAATAAATATATGGATGAATATTGATTACAATAATCATTCAAATCAAGTTTTCTTCATTCGATACTTAATTTTGTTTTAATTTCAACCTAAACCAATATATAAGCATCTGGAAATGAATTTAAATCTTCAATTGTCATTTCCTCACCATCTTCTAGTTCATTAATTACAGCTTCTATTAATTCTTCACCTTCATTCACTAATGTTCGATATGTTGGACATTGTCTTTTCAATTCAATGTCGTAAATACACTGTCAAAAAAAAGTGTCTTGATAAATCACTTAACTGGCTTAAAAATGCTTCCACAGTGCGTTTTGAAGGCACGTGAGGTGCATTTTCTCCTCTTTTT